GACCCAATTCTTTTCAAATTTTAATGGTTAGAATAGTGATTTTTAAAAAAATGTATGGTTGAAAAAGAATGAAAAGTTTTTTTTTTATTTACGTGTAATATTATTTTATGGAAGATTATGTGGTTGAAAATAAGATAGAGAAAAATAATGAGAAAGAGAATGAGGGTCAAACTAGAGCTTAGTGTAATTCATTTGTCAAGTGTTGATTACTCACATGATCGCCCAATTAAGAAACTAGCCACCGATCATTTTATTGTAATTACATAGACACAAGCACTCCCGTGACCACCAATTGTTAACTATGAAACAACTTATACTTTTAGGTGACGGAATTCAACTCTACCATCTATTTAAACGAATTTGGTCCACAGAATTTAAATAAATGAATTTGTTTATGTTTACATCTTACCGTCTAAGCTTTTAAATGTGATCTGTCTACTGGAAAATACAATGAACATGAAATGGTGGATGTTAATATGAACAAGTGACAAGGGATGCGTTGCGTATGATTAAGCAAAATGTATATGGCCGTTGCTTTGGGTTCACGCCTTGACGGATGACGGACTCCACATTGGTCCACCCTTTTTGTGTGAGAATTAGTCACACTTTTATTCCATGGCTCAATTGGCAACATACAAATAAAATGGAATACCTTCTTCCTAAAGTCATGGTAACGAAATATATCATGATCGGTTTCATAATTTGTTTCTATTGGATAATCAAATTTAAAACATTGGGCCGCGCTTGACGTCCAAGCGCCAAATGGCGCCCCCTTATACGTTGGGGGCCTGCTGGAACAAGCCCCCTACCAATGAGGGTGCCATCTATCCGTCTAGGGCCGTGTATCTTTATCCTAAAACATATTTTCAATAAAGTGAATTGACAGATCTATCAGTTTCGTGTTAAAGGAGGTTTGCCATGTTCCTCATTAATGCCTAAATCCTCAATGGGATGGTTGAAGCTCTCGTTTGATAGGAATTAAAATCGAATTTTTAATATAATTTTATGAAAGTTGGTAAGATGTGTGATTAAAAAGTTACGGTTTGAATAGGTATCTCGAATTGAGCACAATTTTTGTTGGGAGACCGAAGACGTCTTTTCAAGGCTTGACCAACTTTTATTTTCATGTTAAAAGAACCCATATATGGGCCCACAATGGTCAAGAACTGGCCCGCTAGGTCAGAACAGTAACTGGAGTCTCGCAGAGATAATCTTTGTTTAATCATTGGGCAATTCATAGCATGTTATTTTTCCACAAAATGTGGGTCCAATTTTTCTGTGGGACCCGGGTGACTTGGCCCACTCTCCTGTCTCTTGCAATACAAGAAGAGGAGCAACATAATTTGGCCATGCAAAAGTTTCCCAATTTCTAGTTGGTTTTATTTTTTCCTCTTAGCTAAGTTTAAGCCAATTACTCCGTTAAGATAAAAAAATATTAGAAGAGATTCTGAGTTCAAATTTTATTAATTTATAAGTTTAAATTCCGTGTTTGATTGGTTGAAATTAACTATGATATCAAATATGACATTAACTAAAATGCTAAGTTCAAAATTCAATCGGTTAAACAAGTTTAGACCTATGTTGTTCTTATGTCGACAAGTCAAAAAAATTTTAAAGTATGTTTCGACTTTTAAACCTTGTGTTGCAAAGTAGGAGATATTATAATAAAAAAGACGAGAAGAAATGGCTCAAGCCACCTCTAAATATGACTCCAACTCTGTGGCATCATAAGTTTTTAGTTTACATTTCGTTAGCTCAAATCTCATATTCGACCATTTAAAGTTAACCAACGACATTATTTGATAAAAAGGTGAAAATCAATGTCTCGATCCACCACTAAATATGGCTCAAATTTCACTCTATGGTGAATCATGTATGTGTTTTCATAATCCCATTCATTTTTTACGTCTTTATTTCTTTATTGGAAGCTGATGACAAAATGCATTAATTTATTTTATTCAAAAAGCAAAAAAGAAAACTTCAATCAATCCCACACAAAATCCATTTTATTACAATTCTGATGGACCCTTCACCCCCTTTTTCTATAAAATATAAAAAAAACTAGAAAAGACTTAAAACACAAGCCTGTCTCTGTACAAGAAAAGGTAACAAATCGCCCCTCATAGGGTGGTCGAATTAGTGGAGTAGGTAAGCATGGAAACCTTGGGTCACGAATTCGATTTTTCCTACCAACACTTTCTCGGTCGAACATGTCGCACAGAGCTTGCCTAATGCGGTTTACTTGACTGGCCTAATTTGCAGGCTATTACGTCAGTCCGAGGGTTCACCCAGTGCGCACTCGAAGGGTAGCAGCCACGGGTCCCCCTCATCAAAAAAAAAAAAAAAAGTGACAAATCCTGCAATTTTCTCATTGCTTCTCATGTTTTGCATGGGAATAACAACTTTTAATCCAATCTCTATTACAAGATCTTAAGCCCCCAGGGCATATCTCCCAGTGGCAAAGGGGAGGGCGGATAGGGCTCAGCGCGGCAGTGTGCAGAGTTCGATTCCCCGCAAGGTGGAATTGACTTTGTTGCAAGCGGGAGTTACCATATGGGTTAACAGCCTTGGCCTATCCATATGCTCTCCACCCTGGTTCTTGGGAGGCACATCCTGCGATTTACCTCCTCCACGATGATTCAGGGTAGGGTCGGTGGGGGCCCCTAAGGTTGGGGTTCAACCTTCTATTACAAGATCTTAAACTTATTGGGATAAGAAGTGATAGATTAGACTCAAAGAATACCATCCTTTTTCATCTTTTCTCTCTAAATCTATCCATATCTATGTGGAGGAACAGAGTTGACGGTCCCCACAGCATTTTTAATTTTTTCAGAGCATTTCATATGTATATATTTTGCCCCTCCAACATATTTTCGCCCCGCCTACATGAAAATCTTAGCTCCGCTATTGTATACAGAGGCGGCGGAGGTAGGGGCCGGGGTGGCGACCGGTACTTTAACAGTTTGACTTTTTCAAGAAATGTATATAGAAATTTTGATTTTATAATGTTTACACGGTACATGTATATTTTGCTTCCTCGACATTTTTTCACCTCTCCTAGGTGAAACTTGTATGGTTCCACTTCTCTCTCTCTCTCTCTCTCTCTCTACTTTTGATTTAGTCTTTAACTGCAAAAGCAACGAAGCAAAGAATCTCTTCTTACACCAAAGTCACAAACACATTGTGTTACTTTTCTTTGTGAGTATTCGCACTTTTCTTTGCTTACAATTCAGAACCAGATGTTCTTTTTCATTTTTTTTCTTTGTTTTCATTAATATATTTTATTTCAAAATTAAAATTATACCCTGAAAAGTTTGGAATCTCTTATTACTTTCAGATGTTAATGTAGTTTAATTCCATACAAGTGTTGTTTGAACATACCATTCTTTCATTTTTTGCTTTTGAGTTTAATCTTAAATGTTGTTATAAACCTCTGATTCTGGTTATGAGAATTGGTGTTCGACCATGAAATTTAGACGATGCCTTCATAACTAGTCATTCATAATATGAAATAACTCATTTTTCGTCTTTAGTTTTGTGGCATCTGAGCTTCTTCGACCAAATGCTTGGTTCAAAATTGCAGTTTTTCTTTACATGTAGCTCTGTTTCCTCAAATCATTTCGAACCCTTGTGATTGACAGCATCAGAATAGTTGCTGAACACAGTTCTATTCACTTATTCTCAAACTTCTACTCGATTCTTTTATATCTTGTTGAGTTTTCGTTCAGATTCGTTGTTTCTTCCCAGAATTTTTGCCTGGATTTTAGACGTCCTCTACTCATATTTTACAACTGGGGATCCTTTTATTGCTGCTGGCATTAGAAAAAAGAGTTGGAGCAATTAGAAATTAATATCATGAGTCTCTTTACATTCATAACAGGTTCTACGACAAATTCTTGGCAGCCGGCCATGACTGTCGATACTACAACAGAATCCTACTGGCTTAACTGGCGGGTTTTGCTCTGTTCCATTTTGATTCTAATTTCGATGGTATTTGCATCAACTCTTATCTCCAAATTCGAAGGTCCACGCAATGTGAAAGAAGGAGTTACAGAAAATGAACAAGACTCGGCTGGAGTCTTGTATGAAGACGAAGTTTGGAAGCCGTGTCTTCGAAGTATACATCCCGCCTGGCTACTTGCTTTTAGATTTGGTGCTTTCACCGTGCTTCTGTTAATTCTATTCTTAAACGTTGCCGTTGATGGAGGAGAGATTTTTTACTACTATACTCAGTAAGTAGTACCATTTCTTAAACCAATTTCAGACAATGAAGAGTACTTAACTTATGTTCTTCACTTAGGATTCAGATCGAATGACTCTATGTAATTTCCGTGGTTAATTTCTCGTATTGAATGCTCAACAGGTGGACTTTTACTTTGATTACCATTTATTTCGGGGTAAGAAGTCACTTAACATTTCATTTGTTTAAAAAACACGTATTTCACTTCTTCTTTTTCTTATGACAGTGTGATCTATTGTAGCTTGGATCCTTGCTGTCTATAAACGGATGTTACCGATATCGTAAAATGGGCGGTGATAAATTTGAAAACGAGCACTTTGATGCCGAGCATGGCTCTCGTAGATACTCGACAAGTGCGCGCAATTCTAATGCATCAAGTACTACAAAAGGCATGGACCTCAATCAAGAACATCCTGTTCGCCAAATCGCTGGTTTTTGGGGTTATATCTTCCAAATCATTTTTCAGGTAAAGAATTTCTGTTAAAGATGGTTGCATCCTTGTTTATAATGAATTTTTATTTTAGCCACCTTTTTCTCGGCAGATGAATGCTGGAGCTGTGATACTGACGGACACTGTATTTTGGTTCATAATCGTACCATTTCTTGCCGTTAAAGATTACAGTCTAAATTTTGTAAGTATCGATTACAAAATCTAACAACTTGCATTTCCAATCGCGAATTCTTGAACAATATGTTCAGTATGATCTTGCAGTTGATTATAAACATGCATTCGATCAATGTCGTTTTTCTGATTGGTGACACTGCATTGAACTGCTTGGTAAGTCCATATTGATATTGCCAATTAATTTCTACCATAATTCTTATTTTTATCTTCTTATTAGGATTTCTTTTTTTGTTTTTAACATTATTCCAGCGATTCCCTTGGTTTCGAATTGGGTACTTTTTTCTGTGGACGGCTGTTTATGTCGTTGTTCAATGGGTCGTCCATGCTTGCATCGCGCTTTGGTACAATGTTCTCTTCCCTATCATAAGTTAACTAAAAATGTATGTGCTTTTTTTGTAACGGCGTATATTTTGAAACAGGTGGGCTTATCCGTTTCTTGATTTGTCGTCACCATTTTCTCCATTATGGTATGTACTTTTCGATTTCTATCAGATTTATAGATACAACGTAAATTTGATTTGTTATTAATGTGTTCGTCTTCCTTTACAGGTACTTGATCGTGGCACTGATGCACATACCGTGCTATGGCATATTCGTTTTGATAGTGAAGATGAAACACTATGTGCTGTCAAAATGGTTTCCTCAGTCTTATAGATGTATGCAATAATGTAATTCGAGGTTTTGAGCTCCACCTTAGGACCACTCGGGGAAAGTCGTGCTTTCTTTGCTCGACCGGTACGCTTATAGTAAAGAAATAAAGAAAGGTTTTTGTTTAGTGACCAGCAACAAAAGATATGACAGTATTTTGCAATTTTTCATGAAAAAAACCTTGACAGTTTATTTCATCTTGAGGGATATATAGTTGATAATAGACTGTTATATGATCATAAATTTGAGTCCATACTTGTATCTAAATAGATCTCAAAGAGATATACACTGAATTTAGTATGTATATCTTTGGCCCTTCAGCCTCTTCTTGTTCTTTTTACATATAATAGTATGATGGATTGTGATGAACTGTATAGCAAGTCTGGTGCAGCCTTCCCCAATTTTTTATTTTTTTTCATTTTAGTGATTTTTTTCAATTAGAAAATCTAAACCTAGAATATGAAATTTGAGCCCTATTATATAAAGGACCGTGCTACATATATATCAAGATTTACATAAAAGATTATATAATATCTACATTGCACATTATCATTTGTTAATTTAAAATATAATCAACTTTTGCATCCAATCTTTCTTTCCATGTCATTTTTTATAATCCCTTATGCACCATTTTAATGTACAAATAGCAAAAATCTTACATAAAAAATCATTTTTTCCCATTATAATTTTATACATAAATTCAAAAAAATTTCATATTTTTTAACCATACATTCTTCAAAATATCACTATTCGAGAATTCAGATAAGAATTTTTCATGCATTATTACTGTTTTGCCCTTGTCCATTCATAGGTGTTATTGATAGGGCAAAATAGACTGTCTATGTANGAATTGTAGCAATCAACTACCATTTCTGAATGTTATTGGACAGGAATCTTGCAATTAAGCAATAGTTATATGGTGGAAAGACTTTTCAGTACACGTTTGGCAAGCAATGTTAGATTGTATGTCCTTTTTCTTATTTAATAATGTCTTGTACTATCTAATCCAACTCAGAAAGCACAGCACGCCATAAGTGTATTCAAGACTTACAATTATGTAGATTTTAGTTGAGATTCTTTGGCTTTGATGAATATCTATTTCTTGTCTCGTGCACTTTAACAAGAGCTAGAGTTTTAAAAGTAGTAGTAGAATCTTGCCTGAAAAGGAAAAATGAGTGATGATGGATTGTTACAGGCAAGTCGAGCACTGCAGGGAGTACCAGCATCATAGCACACGAGGCATTGTTCTGTGATGTGTTCCTGGATCTTTCTAGAGACAGCTTCAACCATCACAGGCAATGCTGCAATGAGAAAAATTAAAAATGATGGCAAAGCATGTGAAAAGCATCTTTAAAACTAAAAAGGCTAGCCAATAAAAAATAAAAATGGTAGTAAAAACAAACCCTATCTATCTGAAATTATGTCATATAAAATAATATGGAGAAACTGCTCCAGGTATAAGCTCAAGGAATGGAACAGACCAGATAAGAGTGGTGATGCTTTTATTTAAGTCTAAAGCAAACTATGACCATTACTTGTTCTTTCCCTCACATTTGATGCAGCTGATCATTCTTGATTACTCTTTGGTAGGAGGAAACAGATAAAAGTGACCTATCTCTTGAACAGCACCCACAATGAAAACTGCAACTGCCGAAACTACGACACAACTCACAGAGACAGCCACCACCTCCGTTTGCAAATGTTTCTGCCTAACAACTCCTCCATCAAGATAAGGACGTCATTCCATGGAACCCTAGGCAATCCGGCATTAGGATATAACAATTATCATAAACATCACCAACCTTCCCACTGGGATAGATACCAACCTAAGAACTACAACTAGCACCTCTAGAAATCCCAGCAAACACCACCTTCAAACTTTTACTTTGCAGCCATAATTATTCTTCATAACCAAAACCATCCATAGCAGCCGCCACTATATTCATCATAAAGAAACTGGTGTAACTTCTGTAGCGTTATTCCTCCTAGAACCCAGTTCCTGTATCTCCTCTTCTCCTTTCAGAAAGGGATAATTGTTGTAATGCCAATAGAACAGCTTCAAACCAGCATTTTATTCTTTCATTTTCTTTCTTTGTTCTCATTTATTTCCTTTCAATATAAATATTAGTATATCTTTCTAGAAGTTTTATCAAAATAAAATATTTAGTAAACTTCATTGAACAACTTATGATGTTACTATTGACAGGTTAGCTTGGTGGCATGTTCATTTATATCACCCCTCATCATAACCAGCCAAACACAGGAATATATCAACGTTGGAATCTGAACTCTTTGCTCCCCTAGAATGCAAAAACTTACTGTTGCACTGTATAGATATTCCTTCATAATAATTGTCGTGTCATGGCACATGGCAAGCAAGGACCATATAGAAAAAATATACTTACAAGATCAACACGACGAAACCCATAACATTTTGAGCTCAAGAAGGCAAAGAATTGCAAAGCTGTCTTAATCAAGGAAATCAGAAAAGCTTAACTAGAAAATAATTGAACGGAATCAGGTAAGAACCAATTTTTCTCTTGTGATCAACCTTAAATGGTAGAAGTATGAAATATTTCCAGAATAAGAAGAGTTAGACATGCAAATAGGAAAAACAAGTACTGACGAAGGTCAGCAGCAGCATATATACAATAGATTATTCACTTTTGAAACTTAATGTAAAATAATATGGCTGAAAATGTTAGGTCTACACTAATGCCTTTCAAGCACACAGTACACTTGGTTCCATTGTTCCTTCTCACAAATTCAAAAGGAGCACATACAGTTATGTCAGCTGCTAACCTGAAAACACCCCCTTGGATAGATCAATGAGGTCTTTAAGAGAAAAGAAGTCATTGCTTTCAAGAAGATATCTTCGAGATCTGAGACCTTTAAAGATAGAAGCACGAAATGGGCAGCGAACGTATGGAAGCATAGCTCTTACTCTTTTTCGGGTATTCGCAACATGCTGCAATGCTGGAACTTTTGAAAATAAGAAAGGATTAACTGCACTGACACAAAGCATTGGCTGCAAGAAGAAAACAAAAGCACGAGTAAATTTTTCTTTTTTTTAACAATCTCTCATATCCATGGAGAATTTTTTTTTTTTTTTTACAACCTCTCATATCCATGAAGCAATGCTACTAAAAATTTCTTGAATACGTTCGTTTAATTGTGCATCATCTGAGTAAGCAATATACTCCTCATTACTCTATTATGAGAAAGATGGGGTCTGTTTGAAGGAGCCGGACGAAGGGACAGAAGATTGAACATGAAAAAATTGCTTCACAATATTGCCCGTCTGGTACAAATTCTTTCTTCTTCTTTTTTTTTTTTTTCTTTTTCTTTTTTTTTTTTTTTTTTTTTTTTTGTTATTGGTAGGTACTGTTTGGTACAAATTCTTTAAACTCATTTTTCCCCAAATTCATTTTCAACCGCACATTCTCTCATTCAAAGAATTTTGCACGTGGACCTATAACTTTCCCACTTTTTCACCACAAATTCTCAATTAACAAAATCCATTCTCAAAAAATCTACGTCAAGCAGGCCCATGATGCAAACTTTTATATTTTAGACGACCAAGAGATAAGATATAACGCTAATTGTCACATTATATATTACCTGGTCATAAATAGAATCCAAGTATGATTTAGCCAGCTGGGAAACAGGGTACTGAGTAAAATCCCAAAGATGCAGAACTCTGGCTGGCAAGACAGCAGCATCATTGTTGTGGCATGAAGAGCAGAATAACTGGCCACTGTATTCACAAAGACGAGGTTTGCCCCATCCTAATGCGTGTACAAATTCTTGCACCCTTGTTCTTCCATCGTCAAAATTTTTGTGGCAGCCAGCACATGTATAGTGCTGTGCATCAAGCATCTGTTTAACCGTTTTGGGAGGATGGATCTGAACAACTAGTGAAATGGTCTTTCCCAATGTAGAAACATTTTCCACGTGTGAACCTCTATTAGATAATGGGGACTGAGGTGCTCTTGTATCAGATGCGGGTGAACCAGGAACAACTTCTGATGGAGACAGGAAAGAAATCAAAGCACTGAGGGAGCTGGAAGAATATTTAGGTTTCAGAATAGAGCGTAAACATTCTTGGATGAGAATACTTCGATCTGCAATGACACTGGGAGAAGAATTAGCAAATATCTTTCTGGATTCCCCCTCAACAGAGGACCAGGGTGACGGAATTCTCCAGCCTTGATCAGTAAATTGTTTCTTCAATTGACGGTATAAAGCATTGAAATCACGGTATCGTCGCTCCACCTCCCAGTGATCTTCTCCACTCCACACTCTTATTCTATAAACAGTGTATTCTTTCACGCCAACAAGCCGTTCAGTCAGTGAAACATCCCCTTTCTCTTGCCTTGCACCTACAACCTGAATTCCATCAATTCTTTGAGGCTGCTTAAACAAATGATCAGCATTATCTGTGCCCGAAGTAGATGCAGCTGATCCACCGTCTCTTAAAGGTCGAGGTAACTGGGATTTATATTCTCTAGCATCCTGGGTGAAACTGGACTGAGGAGACTCACCTGAGTCAAGTAGTATTTCTTCCATTTCATTAACAACCTCATCGTAAAAATCATTCAACTCAAAGGCTTTTGTCTGCAAAATATTAAAAAACCTCCAAATAAGACCCATAAGGAGCTTTATATTAATGAGACAAACCATGCACCAACAGAGAAAATCCCCCCAAAAACCAAAATACTTCCACTTGTGGGGGAAGGTGAACTGTCTACATGCAAATAAATGATGCCTAATAGTAGAAGGAAGAGTAAGATTATCACTCTCAGAATCCGACCAACTGTTGCAATATAAAGGTTCTAACAAGAAAAAAAGGCTAAAAAATGCTGATCAATCTGATCTCGCAAGCATAACGGGTCTACAAACAAAGAACTACCAAATCATTGTCAAACAACCATTAAGCATATGTAAAGAGACTGGGAGATGTGTAGTTGCATGCAAAAAAATGTGTGGTTAAATGAACAGCAATTCCTCTCCTCTGATACTGGCATTTCCAGCAAAGATATTGGTAAAGAAGAAACATATATAGCAAACATTTAAATAATGAAAAAATGGAAACATACTGTTCAAACTGAGAGAGGAAAACTACAACTCACCTTAACTGGTGCAAAATGATCTTCGTAGCGATCGAATGAGAAAGGAGAATTTGTCTTCATTCCACTCGTATTGTTATCAGCCAATTGCGACAATGAAACTGAATTGTTATCTTCAAAGAATTCAACCTTCCTAACTTCCTCAAATTCCCCGGAAATCACATGGTGTTGATTATCCAAAGACTCTGAAGGAGGATTTAACTCTAAGCTTGTTTTCTCTAAGCACAAATTTCTAGAAACTGTACCATCATGAATGCCTGTGACATCTCCGGTATTTGTGTCTTGATGTTTCATTTCTAATTCAGTTCCTCTGCTTTCCAATCCATCAATTACTGGGGCATCATTTGTCAGTGGATCTAGGTTTGTTTCGAATATATTAAGAACAGGAAGGGATTCAAGATATTCCGAGACTTCATCAACACCACTGTCTAGATTGCTTGAAAGCACTCCTTCCACATCATCGACAGGCTCTTGTGCATTGAGTTTCATATGGCTGGTTGAGTCTCTGGAAGGATTATTTGTGTTCGTCTCTGCTAATCCAGTAGCAACTTGGACTTGATTATGGACTTCAGGAATACTTCTCTTCTCATTATGCTGCTCAGCCAAAATAACAGTTGGGCGCCTAACAAAGTTAGCAGAAGTGGAATTCAAAGAGTCGATGTCCTGCTTTCCACCCTGAAATTCATGCCAAACCATTGAAGCATGATTATGATCCACACTTTCTTGCACAAAATCATCCCAATCATCTGAACCAAAAGCCACCGCCGAATTCATGACAAACTGATATTCATTTTTTGGAGGTCCTTCATCCCGAAACTGCACATTCTTCCGAGAATATTTATCAAGCTTCCTCTCGTCATCACTGTAACCAAACATTGAATCCTCACCCTCTGAATGCTCGTACCTTGACAAAGCTTCATCTTCATCCAAGCTTTTCCTGTCCTCACCCTCGTCATTTCTCTCCTCGACATCCCTATGACAATCTGTACCTCCTTCAATATCTCGAAAATCATCCAAAATTCTAGTATTTCCCTCACTAGTTCTCGCAGTCGAAATCTCATTTACACCCTCATATCCCCAGTTACCATCTAAATCAAGCTTACTCATCAGATCAACATCACTAGCTGCAAAGCCCTCATTGCTTCCACCCAAATTCAACAGCCCATTACTTTTCTCGTCAGAAGAAAATTCATTTCCTCTATTAGAACCACTCGCGCGCTCGGATTCATGAAAACCAGATAATACCCTTTTTGAGCCAAAATTCTTGAAACTACTGACTTCATCCCCAAGTTTGAAGCTTTTCAATGACCCAAAATCAGAATCTTGAAACGAACTACCACGGAAACTAGGTGTTCCCATTGCTGAGTTGGCACTACAGTATTGCTCAAATTCTGATTCACCGTCACAGGACGAGTATTGCGACAACACATCCTCACCGTCCGATCCTCGATCTTGTGGGGGATCACAAGGCGAGATAAAGACGGAGGATAATTTCTCTCCAGTCCCGTCTTCATTTATCATCTCATTAAGCTCAAAACTAATTAAATAAATGGAAAATGATTCTACAGTACAGTTTTTTTGCACCCAAAAACTGAATAATCAAAATCATAAAATCTATGCCGAAAAATGGAACAAAATTCGGCAAAATATTGGCAAAAAAAGGTAGAAAATTAATGCTCAAAATTCCTTTTTAATAAAATATAAAATTTAGGAGATAAGAACGCTGATTTATTACAGGTTTTATTAAATTAAACAGTTTTAATTTCCTAAAAACTCTTTAGAAGGGTATAGAAAATTTATTTTTGTATTGAAATTGAAGAGAACTTGATTATAAGTAGAATATTAAGGAAAATAATAAGTTGGGGGAAGAGAGTACCTTCGTCATTACTTTGGGTTATATCATATATGCAACTGGAGAAACAAAGAAGCGATTTGTAATTGAGCTATTTTGTCAAGAAGAATAAAATTGCGGGTCAAAATGAAAAATAGCCTCCACGATTATTAATTATTAAATTAACGAAAAATTGCAGCATCGGTCCCAAATCTTTGACTTTTTTGCAAACTTTCCTTAACCTTTAATTTATGTTAGCGAAGGTCCAAGTCTTTGAGAAATTAGCAACTGGAGTCGAAATCATTTATTTGATCGTCAATTGACCAACAAAGTTAACTTTGACCAATTCTGATTATATTAGAAAGGGTAAAATAGTAAGATATAAATTTCACATAAAAAATTATAATAATTAATTAAAAACATAAAAAAAAAAACATTGCCATTTGAAATTATGTGTGATGCTAGTGACTTTGTGATATGTGCTGTCCTAGGGCAACGAAAAGAAGGTAAGCCTTTTGTGATTTACTACGCTAGTAGAACTTTAAATAGTGCTCAAATAAATTATTCTACTACTGAAAAAGAATTAATAGCGGTAGTCTTTGCGCTTGATAAGTTTCGATCCTATTTGATTGGCTCTCCCATTCTTATTTTCACAGATCATGCAGCTCTTAAGCACCTTCTTGCAAAGAAGGATGCTAAGACAAGACTAATACGCTGGATTTTGCTTTTGCAAGAATTTCACATCATTATTAAAGATAAGAAGGGAGTGAAAAATGTTGTAGCAGACCATCTGTTAAGGCTGACCTTTGAAAACAACTCAAACATCTTGCCAATTAGAGATGAATTTTTCAATGTAAATTTATTTACTATCTCTTCTCTACCATGGTTTGCTAATATTGTGAATTACTTGACTGCGGGTGAAATCCCAAAGGATTACTCCCACAGGATAAGAGAAAATTTTTGGTTGAGGTACGTAACTTTTATTGGGATGACCCCTATTTATTTAAGTATTGCCCTGACCAAATATTGAGACGATGTGTTCCTGATGAAGAGATACCCAGTGTACTAGACTTTCGTCATACCCAAGCTTGTGGGGGCTACTTTTCTATGAAAAAGACTCCTGCAAAAATTTTGCAGTGCGATTTTTATTGACCCACCATGTTTAAAGACACTAATGCCTATTGTAGATCTTGTGAGAGGTGTCAAAAATTAGGTGTTATTTCCCGTCGTAATATGATGCCTTTAAATCCTATTTTGGTAGTTGAAGTGTTTGATTGTTGGGGCATTGACTTTATAGGACCTTTTCAACCCTCTTTTGGCTATTTATACATCATTGTGGCTGTAGACTACATGTCTAAGTGGGTAGAGGCAGTTACTTGTAGAGCCAATGACAATAAAACGGTTGTTAAATTCCTTAAAGAAAATGTTTTGTCTCGATTTGGTACACCACGTGTTATCATTAGTGATAGAGGCACACACTTTTCCAACCGTTCATTTGAGGCACTAATGAAAAAGTGTGGGATGATTCATAAAATTTCCACTTCTTATCACCCACAAACTAGTGGACAAGTAGAATTGGCTAATAGGGAAATTAAACAAATTTTGGAAAAGACGGTGAACTCTAATCGTAAGGATTGGTCGTTGAGACTGCATGATACACTTTGGGCTTACCGTACAGCCTTTAAGACTTCCCTAGGCATGTCACCTTATAGACTAATCTTTCGAAAGCCTTGCTATTTACCTGTCGAACTTGACCACCGAGCCTTTTGGGCCATTAAACATTTCAACTTTGATCTAGAAGAGGGAGGTAGACATAAAAAATTTCAATTAAGTGAGTTAGAGAAGTTAAGAAATGATGCCTATGAAAGTTCTAGAATCTACAAGTCAAAAATAAAAGCATTTCACGATAAAAACACTGTGAGAAAAACTTTTGAACAAAACTAGAAAGTGTACTTGTATAATTCTAGACTTCACAAGCACCGGGAAAAACTACGTTCTAAGTGGACTGGTCCCTTTGTCGTAACACAAGCTTTTGAGAATGGGGCGATTGAAATTGAGGACCCTAATGATGGTAAAATATTCAAAGTGAATGGGCAGAGACTCAAAATACTCTATGAGAAACAGGTGTCTGCATTGGAAGAAATTCTCTTTGCAGACCCGGTTTACCACCTATGACACACCTCAGATACATTTTTCACTTTGTGCTTCTGTATATTAGTTTCAAATTTTTTTAGTATGTTTTGCATTTTTTTTTAGTTTATTTTCATTTTCTTCATCACCCTTTCCATTGGAGACTTTCAGACTTCCTATATTTTAGCTCATGTGAGTCGCCTCTGCACTCAAGTGACATCTTTCCTTACCTTTATTTGGCAGACATGTTTTTGCACTGAGGATAATGCAATGTTTAGCTGGGAGAGAGTTTAACTTAAATTTTGTTGTGAATTGCATGATTTACATAGAATTTTGGTCTAAATTTTTCCTTAAGTCTCTATTTGCTACATATTCATGTTCTTGAATGACAAAATATGTCACTAGGAGTTGATATTGTTCATGTGAGTCTAGATATTGAGACACTTGTTGAATCATTTTGTGCATATAAGTCTTGTGGTAAGAAAGTGATTTAGTACATGTAGCTAGAGGAGTCCCTTGTTGAAGTTTTATTGTGTAAGAATTAGTAAGGATCGAGAGCTCCCATACACTAAAATAGCAAAAAGTATTGAATGCTAATTTGTGAAGAATAGAAGCAAGAAAATGAAAATAGTTAGTATGTGCTCAAGCGAAACTATGTGCTCAAGCAAGACACCCCTATAAAAAAAAGACAAAAAAAAAAAAAAAAAAAAAAAAAAAAACAAAAGTAAAAAAAAGATTGATTTTAGGGTTTAAATATTGAAGAGTGTATTGATCGAAAAATGTAATCTATTGAGATGCTTGATGAAATGTCTAGCTACATGCTTGAAAATCTTTGAATCTTTATATCCTCCTTTTCATACAATCTAACTTAAACCATGTTGCAACCCTTTACGTTGACTGTTTTGATCCCAAGTATGATTGTGGTAAGAAGGTGATGAATTTTCATTCAGCAGTATGCATATCATAAGATCAATGCTCATTTGTTGCTCATTCAGAAACATCTAAGCCTCCAAATTATGAGTGTCTCCATTTCTCAACTCCATAGAGAGAACCGCACAAAATATTTTAATACCTGTGAATTATGGGGCTGAACCTTTGGCTCAAGGCATATGTGATGCTACATGTGTTAGAGTTGACGATAAGATGGTTATGATTTGACACACACTCACACATTTAGCAAGTGTTTTTGATATCTTGATGATCATAACATTGTTAATTTCCTGTGGTGTTGAGTTTGAAAAGATAATGAACTGCAGTTGAATTGGAACTCAACAACTTCACTCGTAATATGGATCAATCACTCATTTGTTTAGTTCTGCATTAAATTACTAGGAACTAGCAATAAGTAAGTTGGAGGTGTAATAAGAATGTAAAATACAATATTTTCTCATCTTAATTATTGCATTCGTGTGATTATTTGATACCAAAATGTGCTCATTATATTTATACTTTGATTCAGGTTGTATTTTGATAGAAAATGTGAAATTTAGAAGAAAATAACGAGAAATGATCAAAATGGAAGAAATTGAAAGTTCAGAGACCAAGTTGCAAATAATCTAGAGATGAGAATAGCAATGGAACGATGATTTGGGAAAGCTAAGAGTCCATTGGGTGCAATTAGAAGTGAAAAGAAGTTAAATATGACCATAATATTTTCACAAATCAAATTCCATCCGCATAAAGATTTTCCAAATTTTCATCCAGAGATTGAAGTCAAAGTTTGACCCAGTAAACGTTAGAATTTGAAAAAATCTATTTCTAGCTAAATTTTAGCCCTTTGTATTAGCTTTTAATTGGATATTGAAAGAGAAAGTTATGGTCAAAATACTGAAAATAGTCGCACAGAATATTTTAACCGAAAATTTAGTTTCTTTATTCGGTTCAACCTCTTTTGGAAACAACTTAACATATGATTTTAAGCCCTAGACTGGCGAGAACACGGCTATTCTTCATCTCCTATCACTTTTCTTTGGTTTTTGGCCCAAGAAATCCATGGAGAACTAAACTTATTGGTGAAGCCACGAAGGAACTCGGTTAGATTTGAGAATTTTCATGTCTTTTCTTGCTTAAATGTGTTCTTTCTTTGTTAAACAATTCTAGATTCAGATTTCTTATTCTTATGAATATGTTTTGAAGTTGGTTTAATTTGTATTAAATTTTCATGGATTCAATCACGTTTTTTCCATCGAATAATTGAAGTACTTATTGAATTTTAATCTTAAATCTTCTATTGGTGTGATTATTTACAATTATATGCTTGATGTATATAATCGCTCTTGGATCTGATTTCAATGGATTATTGTGGAATTTTATTATGAAAGAAATCTAAGTTTGGGGAATTATTGTGGAATTAAATAGGTTTGAAGTAGGGGTGGGCGCGGGTCATTTCGGTTCGGTCCTCTTTAGAACCGAACCGAACCAAAATTTTCGGGTATCTAGTAAATGGAACCGTCAGGTCCAAATATAATTATGGAACCATTCGGGTTCGGTTTCGTTCAGTTCAGTTCGGTTCCGTTCGGTTCTGTACTATAATTAAATTTTTAAACATTTATAACAACATTATATAAATACAACTAATGATACATTCAATGATTTTGGAATGCCATAGACTAGTAGACTGCCTTGTTCAAATGATCGCTACGGTTAAAGCTTTGGTCGAGGCAGGTCGCAACTTTGATCGGAGGTCACAGCATCGATCAACGATTATATAAGTTTTGAAATGTCAGCGAGGCTGCGAGAGTCGAGACAACGTTATGCACTTTAGTGTAGGTGTTTAGAGTTATTTAGTGGATTGGATTTTGTTGGGCTAAAAAATGAAACAATAAAATGGGTAATTTAGCCAAAAATTTGGATTTAGAAATTGTTAATTTGTTTAGAAAAAATTAAAATTAAAATAATTTGATGTACTCAATATAAAAAAAATTAGAAATATTCGGTTCTTCGGTTCTTGGTCTAGAACCGAGAACCGAACCCGTCGGTTCTCAATTCAGATACCCGTTC